ATTTTCATATACATGCAAAGTACTCACAGTACGATAATGTAAGTGCAAATTATGACATCATATTATGACGTCACATATCTTTTCCATTTAAAGTAATAAACACATAAAACACATTGGCGCAAAGGCATGTCCTAGTTATATTTTTTAAATCATGTATAATATTTAAAAGAATATTAGAAAATTTAATAAAACTACAGCACAAATCCTACACATTTTCTCAATAATGAAAACAATTGGAACTTACACCAGACAGTGAATATTTACCCTGTTTCATCTTAAAACTTTACGAATAGTAACTAAACAATTGCACTGTCGACATTTGTGTAGCAATATCATAAATAGTAAAAATACCCTGCATCTGCTCATACCTTGTTTCAATAGACTAAAGTAAGGTATGCCCTTGCGCCAAAGCATTTTTCAAGTTGATATTTCTTATAAACTTGTGTAGTATATGACGATAACGTCATAATATGACCTCTTAATGTGTATTGTCTAGCGGATGTCGTGCGTACCGACTTTGTATTAGAAAAAATGGTTCAACCTTTTCTGGGCAAAAAGTACAGACCTAATGCGTTTTAATGAGTTAATTTCATCAAAATCTCAATATTTAGCCTTTACTTGCGAAGGGACTTCGTGACAATAAATGTAACTTTGATCTCTCAGAGGTATTGTGATGAGATCGTCGTTCTTTTTGCTGTTCACTTCCTGTGTTGAGGAAATACAAGCATTTTCCAGCAAGACAACACCCGTCGTCACATCGCACGCCACAAACAAGATGTCCTTCAGCAGAATAATTTTGAGACCTTGGATAGGCCTGCGAGATCACCAGATTTGTCACTGTTTGGCATATTCTTGGTCGTCGTTTAAGACAGCGACACAATGTCAACAGCGTAGAAAGACTGACCCTTGCCCTGTAGCAGGAGTGGAACCAAATCACCATGTTTGAGACAAGAAACCTTGTAAGGAGGGTGAGGTGTTGTACATGTAATTGATGCAAATGGAGGCCATACGAAATATTGAAACTGAATGTGCTTTAACAACCCGTTTTCCTCATTAGTTTGACCCTATTTCTTACAAATCAGAAAGAGATTTTCTTTTGTTATGTGATGAAAATCTTGCATTTCAATTTCATTGTAAATGTTGTGTCTAATTGTGCTCATTATACAATTCGTAATTTTCTTTAGCATTAAAATACTCATTATACATTTTTATCTATAATGTTTTATTTGTATTGTTATAAAATCATTCACTCTGTATTTAATAATACAATATCAGAGTTTTTACTTTACTTAATTAAGGATATGAAAAACATCTCTTTCGGGAAAAGGAAATGGTTTTAAGTTTAATTTTCGTATAAATTAATGTTTCTTACTTTAATATACATGTAACACAGGAAAAAGTAATGCAAATTCTATTTCACTTTTGTACATGTAATAGCATTTATTCATTACGCATGTGTCAGCAAAAAATTTAATTTACTAATTGTGGGCTTAATAATCGATCTTGGTTCTACTAATTCATCATCTCGATTTTCTACAATTTTTTGGACAATGTTCGTAGTTTTAATGATTTCTATGAATTCCATTCTATTCCCCGTTTCGACGAAGGGAAGGAATATTGCTTTGTTGATGACTGTCGGTCGGTCCACCCTCAGTATATTTTCCATTTCTGCGCAGAGGTTGCACATATTGTAATGAAATTTATAATTAAATTGATCATATAAATATCTACGTCAAGTTTTTGGTACGTTCAAACCTTTTTTGACAGTGTTATGTTCCCTTGTACTTAGAAAAATCGAATTATTTTGTGGGAGGGGGAATAAGTGTTTAACAAACATCTTTAGTTACAATATTTTTTTCCCATTTCAGTTTCGGGCTCAAGGAAAGGTTCAGCAGAATTTGAAATTGAACTGAATTTTGGAACAGAGATGTTTATGACGAAACTTACGCTGCATTCAATATCTGCATCAGAATCATTAGATATGTTTTTGTACGAAGTAGTTAATCATAATGCACAGAACAAAATTTCTGCAACCAACTGCTTAGTTGGAATAAACAGTTCATCAGTAGACCTAAACACGACGTATACTTCGTTTGTTCAGAATTGTGACCAAGGCAGTGTAATTTCGGAGGAATTTATTTTAGGACTTAATATAACAGGGGAGATAATAAAACTTTCTACATTTGTTTACTGCTATCCTAACGTTTATCCAGAATATACGAAATATTTCAAATCCAGGTGCCATTATTATCCGTCAACCGAGCCTCTGTCCATTACGTTCAATAAGCAGGAACTGGACGCCGACAATGTGGATCTTATTTACCTTAATTACAAGTTCCAACCTATGGAGCCTCGTTGTGACTTCTGTTTATCTTATTTAAAACGATGGATTTTCCAAATTATCTAGTTCAGAAATAAAGAAATAAATGACTGCATTTTATTTTAAAACCACGTATTTTTTTTTCTTCTTTAGGATAATCAAATTTATTTCGTTCAGTCTTTTTACAAGGTTCTGATCATTGATATTGCTTTAAATTTGAAGGGATTTGTCAGGTGAGAAAGAACTACAAAGCTATTAATCCTACAATGTAAAACTGCGTGCATCTTTGGTTGAAAATCCGAACGGAATCCCAGGAGGAACATTAAATTACTTCCTATGTGTGTTGACTTATATCCTATAATGTAATTGTTAATTTTTGTTCTACTTTGGTATCGTATTTTTACTTTACCCCCAAACAGGGTCATAGAGATGGATGCTATGTATAGTTTCAGAAGAAAAGAGTATTCCTGTAAATTGCTTTTGAATTTGTTACTGAAAAGAAGATTAAACATTAGTTATGTTAATATTTTAATCATTATGCAACCTAGAAATTACAATCTAGAGCTAAGCTTTAATTTTGAAGTAACAACAAAAAAAAAAGATACGAATAAGCATATACCATTAAACTATATCAACAAATATATCAACAGATAAGAATTTTAAAGTGACATATGTACTGGATGATAAGCTACATTTCATAAATTAAAAATCAAGTTTAAACTTGGTCTAAACATATCATTTTAATAATGATTATAAACAAAGCCCCCGGCACTACATCGCTCCGTTACACTTAATTTTATCTACCAAATATATTTCATAAAAAGCATCAACAATAAAAAAATGTTATTACAGATAAATCATAACTAATAATTTTTTTCTACGACTTTAATTTTAAAATTCGGCGTTCAGCCTAATATCCATTCTGAAAACACGTGTCACATGATTTAAGTTTTTTTTCTTTGAAACAATGATTTCTTATCGTTCTCTTGAGGTGTATTGATGCTGTCTCAAACTGCAAGCATTCGTGTGTGAAATGCGTGCGATCATAACCAATCGGTGCCATTCATTACCTTCTGAAACTTCATCGTTATTCGATGTTGAGATGTGGGTTATACACTTTAAGAACATGAATAAATGAGGAAACAAAACAAAGTGAAATTTTATCAAAATTTTATTAACAAAACAAAAGTAATTTTTACAACAAAAAAAAATTGAAAAATATAGAAATGAAATGTCTGTCAGCAGCGCGTCAGTCCTGGAGATTGTCCTTTTAAAACGTAGTATACGTTCACCCTTGCTGAAGAGATGTGACCTCTGTTTTAATTTTTTTTTTTTTTTTGTAATTTCCTTTGGTAAACGTATTTTTCTTTGACAAATAGAATTGAAAAGAATTTCACAAATATCACATATATCACATAATAAACTTTCACAATACTCTCTGTAACTTTGGAATGAATTGATAATATTTTAAACAGGTGATTTCATTATTCATGCAAGATAACCACATTACTTTAAATTGTTGGTCCCGAGGTGTCCGTCAGGGCTGCCGTACTCTGTCATACTCTCTCCCACATTTGCTACTGTAATTGCAAAACCATTACACATTGCAAGTCTCTCCCTCTCGCCCTGGACTGGCGACTGGCTATTGTCAATGTAAGTAGCTGGCTGTAGTACTCCGCCAAAAACCTGATAATAACGAAACGGGACAAAAGCTCGAGAAATAGAACCCTCTGGAAAATATAATAAAATAACAATACTTAACGTGTAGAACATATTTTACAAATTGAATTTTCGAATGCCTGATGCAGTTTGAGTACCCGCCTCGGCTACAATGTACTTCAACATAACAACAAGCCAAACAAGTTATATCTCGGCTGTGACTTCCCGGGTACTATCCGAACACGAGCTCTCAGGTAGATAAAATAACAATTTTTTTAGGTTTATGCAATGTTTTCAAAAACATAAGAGTATAGGATAAGGGAATCATTAAAAATATAGACTTAAAAGTTTTTCCATTGAGAATATTTTTTTTTCATATTTCTTTAGAACACGTCTCATTATACCCGGGTGTCCTGTTTGATGGCTGGGTTTACGGATAGGTCACGTTGTCCATTCCTATCGTTTCCATAAATTGATTCACAGGTTGAGATTGCCACAATTTTCAGAGAGTAAAATGATATTAATAAATAACCATTCATGCAGTAGATTGTTAATTTTAAAAATACAACATGCTATACATGTTTTTTTTATAATTATCTAGCTTGCTTTTCAATCAATCGTTAAAAGTATGGATTGTAGTCCTTTCATTTTTTAAAGCCAAAGTCTTTATGACCTAGCAATTCATCTTCCTCAGCATCTTGAAAAGTATTTAAGGTATATTTTATCTTAATAATACGTCTTATTTTTAAATTGATTAGAAGAAAAGAACAAAACATTTTTTTTTACAATTATGGATAATTTATAAATGTATCACATATTCAAGGTTATTCACAAAAGATCGTTAATTATGAATAAGGGTGCGGATGATCAACTTCAATGATTCTTCTGAATATGTGAGCAGTTTTCTGATAGTGTAAATATTACGCTATTTCGTATTTTTACAATAAGGCCCTGTACTTAGTGATACTCAATACTATAGAGATAAGGATACCTAGTGATCATTTGGCAATGGCGAGGGAGATAAGAACGCACAAGACTACTAGGAAGATACAATGCATTCATCCATATTCTGTCTTCTGGTTTTCCTTCAATTTTCAGGATGTTTAGGGACATCCGAAAACGGTGCCATTCCAAGGTTGGAAAAAATGCTTTCGGAATTGTTTAAAGAGAACGAGGCAATAAAACTGAAAATGGTCAAAATCGAAATCGATAACAAGAACCTGAATCAGAAGATTGAAAAAGTTGTACTGGAAAACAATCAGATGAAAAAGGAAATTGAGAAACAGTCTAGAGTTAATTTCCGTCAAAGTGAAAAATTAAGAAATATGGAACATATAATTTCTGACTTACAAAAGTGTTCAAAAAATTGCAAAATTCTTAAAACCCTAAAAGGACACACCCTTTTCCAGAAAACAGAATCATGGAGACAAAACGGCAATTATTCGGAATCTTTGATAAAGAACAAAACGCAAGAACTCAGTTTCCACGAAAGAAAGAATATCAATAACCACCAGCGTAGGAGGGTGCAAAGACTATTGATGACGGGTAAATCTTATTTTCATTTGATATTTTTTTCAATGGTTTTTTTAATGTTTTTCTCCGAAGAGGTTCGTTATTCGAGTTGCAGTATCGTTGCTGTTTTCCACTCTGTTAATTAAAAAAAAAAATCCTAAATTTTCTATATATGTCTAAATAAAGATTTAAGTAAGCTTAGATCAGTCTCCACAGAGAAAAAATATAAAAAAAAAGAGCGTCAAATAATAACACATGAAAAAGACGTCGTCAATGCTTAAGGTTTGGTATTTCAAAAAACAAAAATGAAGAAAATAGGTTTTAAGAAAGGGACAAAGCAAAATAGTGCATATTTGATATTAAAAGCCATAACCTGTCAATGTATCCTGGAATTTCTGAAAAAGTAAAAAAAAAAAATCCTACAATCTATTTCAAAAAAAGCTAACGGACACTCTTTTGAAGTAAACTTCAAATATATATATATATCTATATCTATATCTATATATATATATATATATATCTATATATATATATATATATATATATATATATATATATATATATATATATATATATATATATATATATATATAAGATATGTAATAAGACGTGATACTTTCAATTTTACTTGGAAAAAAGATTAAAAGATTAGAAAAGTATATGAGAAACCTTTCAAAAACGTTTTCATTTATTAATATTCGTTGTCAACCCTTCATGTGTCTAAGCGAAATTTCTTTTATTAAAGGAGTTACAGTTTGAACAGTTTTCTCTCTTACTGAGGCTCTATTTGTTAGGGGATTTACTGTCTTTTTTCTTTTTTATCTATTTCTTTAGTTACAGATAATAACTAATTATTTATCTTTTCTTTAGACATTCCACCTACAACCACTGATAGAATTGCCTTCTTCTCTTACATGTCCAAACCGGAAACCAACCTTGGCCATCATCAGACGATCATCTTTGATGTTGCACACACAAATGTAGGAAATAACTACAGTCCTCATACTGGCGCCTTTACTGCTCCCAGTCATGGTGTTTATGTTTTTACCTGGAAAGTATATATTGCATCAGGTGGATATGTCTACACAGAATTAATTCAAAACTCCAATTCCGTTTGCGGGTCATATACTGGGGCACAGGATGTTCATAATATAATTGCATCAACAGATGTTGTCGTTTTGGAATTGAACCCGGGGGATGAAGTTCATATTCGTACACCTCCAGACGCGAGTTTGAGTGGGACTCTATACAGTACTCGCCAATATCGGTCTTCTTTCAACGGCTGGAGATTATTTTGAAAATTACAATACATTGTGTCTGAAAATTAAGTCAATAAAGTTAAGACAGCATATGCTTTTTTTTAATTTTCTCCTTAACAAAGTTTGTTTTATGTTTCTTTTTTAATACTCCTAGAAATTGATAATTTGACCTCTTGTACATATAAAATTTCTTTGAGGTAGTTTACATAGTACGCACATGATCAAATACCTGGTTTTTTATGACTTATCTAACCTATTTAACAGGAGCCAATCGAACCCTTACCCTTAGTTTTTGCATATAAAATAGAGTAGGCTGCATGAACCAACGTTCAGGTAACTATGTCAGCAATAAAGGAAATAACTACCTAGTAAATGTACTACTAATGACAAACATTAATTTTCAAGCCATCAAGTTTAGTTTTGAAAGATACACCGTTACCTGTTAATGATAATCCTAATTTTAACATAGCGACAGACTTAGATAAGTTTCGTAAAGAATACCTGTTAATGAATTAGCAAAATTAAAATAACAGCAAACGTTTGAAGGAGCCTTATGACACATTGTGTGAAATGTTTTCATGACATAACCCTCCCATCCCCCTCTTACAACGTTATAGACAATGCATGGCTTGATTTAGAACTCAAAATAATAAAATAGCAACTATATTTATAGTGTTGTTATATATAGCTTACAGACCATTTCTACAGATGTGAGTAAATTTGAGCATTCTTTTAAAAGAGTTTTAAATTGGGAAAATAATTTAAAAAATAATGATTTCAAATAACTATATTATTTTTAATATATTTTCATAATAATAATCAATAATTGTTTTGGCAATGAACTGGATATTGTGAAATTGTCCTTTGGGCGTCCTTCCTCAACTTCGATGCTTTTATTTATTTTTTTATGATGATTTGTCACATAAAATTACAAGGAAAATGATCTGTAATGTAAAAAATAATGTATTTTGGAATCAGGACGAAGGAGACCAGTAAAACAAAATTTCTAATCATATTAAAAGCTTGTCAATCGTAATTTACATTGTTGAAATTTTTCTTTTTCCAATTTGTAAACAAATTACAAACAAGTCATACATTAAAGAATAGTTGAGTCTTTGACATTTTAAAACATACGCTGAATTAGCTTTAATTTTGAATCATTTTCCTATTTAGGCAACTGGTTATATTGAGGATGGTAATTTTGCACATTACAGTTGTTTTTATCAAGCCAAATTCGTCCTATTTTGTTGAGTGATTGCGAAATAGACTTTAAACAAATTTATTTTGATGAGTGATTGCAAAATTTACATTAAGCATAATCAATCATTATGGCATATTCATATAATATAAGGGATTGTCGGTTGGAAAATGTTAATAAACTTTTGAAGGCGCAGCTTTTCTTCATCATGCGAGGTCTAAGTTTGGATTGTAACATGTTCATTAAAATGATATGTGTAGCTACTGGAGCCATGTGGATAATGCTTGAAAGTTGTAACTGTGTAAGTATCTTTTTTTTCAATTCTTATAAGAACAAGGTTTTAGTTTTAAAAACTTAGGTGAGTTAGCACTGTAGCAAATCTGAGTATATTACAGTGCACTAACAATGCCTAAATTCCTTATGTATCAACAGGTAGATAGTGTTGCACTCGATCGGACTGGATTCAAATCAGAAATAACCTATACTGTGCATTTCGTTGTCAATGGCCAATGGTCAATGGTTTTCCAGACAATCACAAATTTCGTAGAGCACTCAGAGTCTGACTAGAGATATTTTTTTTTCTAAAAAATCAGTTCCGACACAAAATTTTGAAATAGGTAAAAATATTCCATGTCTGACTAAATATAACACTTGAATGTGGAAGAAACATATTCATAATTAACTTTAATTTATTTCTATAACAGACTTCCAAAACAATACGGATTCTTGAGACGCCAAATATAAAGCCCTTATATCTGAATGTATCGAAATCAATGAAGGATAACCGAGTTACAGTGTATGGAGGATTCAAGTGTCCCGATGACACAACTGCAGAAATTGACGACGGCACGATTGTCAAATTTGAAAAAGGTAAATTCTGTGTATAATGTTTTTTTTCCCATCATTTTACTGGATATATATTATGTGCACTAAATAATTTAATTTTACAAACATTTGTATTACAGCTTAAATTAATGCAATCAATATTATTTAGGCATACTAATAACATACATCGATTTTAAAATATTGGATTTTAGATGATAATCTAATGTATCTATATAGGATCTCACATGATTTATAGTTGGATATGATTTTTATCCAACGAGTTGTGAAGATTTTATCCCCGAGTCTTGGCGATTGGATAAAAACACATAACGAGTTGAATAAAAATCATATCTAACTACAATTCATGTGAGATTTTTTTTCCATGTTTTTACACCACAAACAATGCTTAGCACTGTTTTCATAAAGGACTCCACTTCACTTTACTTCATCACTCTAACGCAAAATCCATTGTGACGTCACAACTGTGTGATACGAAAACGATATCACATGAGCTATGTCAACGGGATAAAGGGTTAAACATGGGATAAAATATTATATCAATCATATAATTATTTGTTCAAAAAAAGTTTTAGACTTCTACTCATTATCTGAGCTTAGAAATTTCTTTATGAACGAATAAAACATCAAACTGCCGATATAAGTTGCATTGTTTGCCTAGTTTGATTACGTATGAGAATATGCACACTTATCAAATCAATATAGTAAGCAGATGTGGAAAAAATGTTCGTGGTGTTCATGTTTCGAATTATGTTCCATATTTAAAATTTTGTATGAACATACATGTAACATGACACCAAATACCAACATCTGTAAACTATTCTTTAGACTCGCATGAAAAGTGTTGACACATTTAAAAATGTTAGTCACTATCGGATCTGCTTAACAGACCTATCGCATGATGTTTTATGAAAACTGCTCTGACGTCATAGGCGAAAAATTAGGGATAGAGAGATTAGATATTGCACACTATTATGGATTTTATTAACGAAAATTACTGCTTCATTTTAAAAAATGTTGGAAAAAATAATTTCTTACGTACTTTTCAACTATTTTTGAAAATTCTACTAGTTCTAGGGTATAAGGCTTTTGAGAAATGATCGTTTTTTTACTCTAAAAATTATGAAGCTTTGATTATAGGAATATTTTGTGATCGGGGAATTGCTTTTTCAAGACAATACCCCTATACAAAATGTATGGAAGCATACTTGCATATATTAATAGTATGTTAAAATGTAGAATAAAAAGGTTATATTATGTTAAATTGAAAGTTAAAATATACGTTATTATTTGATTTGTGATAAGATGATCAATCAAATTGAATTTTGATTGCGAGTTTCTTCGTTTTCCTCGCTGCTATTTTACAATAACTACATATTTTTGAGATTTTTTCTTGCAGATAAATCAGGAATATATAGTTGAATTTTCAATTTCATAGTTATTGGAAAAAAAACATGGGTTTGTTCTCAACAATGCAGGAAATTAAGGTTGCTTAATGTATTTTTAGTAATATTAACGTTGATAGCTGATCTCCCCTTGTTGCCTTTTACGTCACAGGGTAACATTTACACTATCTTATTAACTTGGATTTCTTAGTCATGGGATTACATTTGCATAATTTCTTAATTACCACGGTATATCGGTAAAACTTTTTTTTAAACTTTAATAAGTTGTCACGAGAACTTAATATGCTTTTAATTTAAAATGATTTAGGAAGAGCCGAGAATTCCTTTAAACATAAATGATTACATAATATGTAGTAAATAATATGTAGTAATAGTACTATAGGTACCATAGTTCGCTGAAATAAAAGTTACATTCAATTAATGATTCGATTTCCTCCCTGATATCTGAACGTTTTAATCATGGATTTTTTTAAGATCAGCTTTTTTAAAAGAAAAAAAAATCTTTGATGATTAATTCAATCAAACTGAACCTATACAGAGGATTTCATACTGTGGACATACTCGAAAACAGGATGATTAGTATAGCAAATATAGCGGAGGGGAGTTTGCGTTTTGCAGAATATGAATTTTGTTTGAACAATTGTATCCTTTTTGCATAATTTTTAATTAATTCAATATATTTTTTCATTTTCAGTATCAAATTCTGGGGGAAGTGCAACAGGCTTTGAATTGGTTTTGTATTACGATATGTGGAGATATTTGGCAAGACTAACGCTTCGCTCGAAATCTGCCTCAGAATTTTTGCAGATTTATTTGAGGGGGAAGGTACATAACTCTGTACAGACCGACATTATTGGAATAAACTGCTCAGTTGGAATAAACATGTCATCCAAAGGTCAAACCACTACGTACACTTCCGCTATTCAAAACTGTAACGACGGCGTCTATGATAAATTTGTTATGGTGTTGAATAAATCTGGTGAGATAATTCGACTCGATTCAAACATTTATTGCTACTCCTTACATGCGGAATATAGGAAGTATTTTAAATCAATATGTTCATTCCATGACCCCGATGCTCCTTTATATGTTACGTTCTACGAAGACAAAAAGGCCGCTGACAATGTTGAACTTCTTTATCTCAATTACATGTTCGGTCCTCTTGGATATTGTTCAAATATATGCATTGCAAACATGAGATGATGGTTTTTCTCAATCATTTAGCTCCGTCAGCTATCAAGTATATAAAAAAAATCAATCTTTAGGCTTTTGTTCATTTTTTTCCCCAGGTTTGTCCCATGAAAAAAAAATTAAATTTCTAAATTAATTAACGGGAAAAAAATGAACAATCGTGTATTCATTGGTTTGCTTTTTATCTTATCATAGTTCTGTATTAAGTTAATGTACGTTCAAAATAAAAAAAAATATTAAAATTAATTATAATTTATTATTGTTTGCATATTTCTTATTGTTTACCAAACGAATTTTGGTTGCATGTACATGAAGTGTTAATTGCACTAAAACACGCATACCTTCCAAAGGCTTTAATGGCTAAATGTGTTAGCTTTTTAATGATCTCGATCTCTTTCTCTCAGGATTCAAGCGTATGAATAAATACACAGATTCGCAGTGCAGTTGGCTTCAGTTTATTTGTATAGTACATAGTACTGTCATTTTGAGAATTTAGACATCAATAATGTAAAGAGACAGTGAGTTGATAATTTGCTATTCTTTTTTTTCTTTATTTAAACAGTCATGTCACTACAGTTAAAACATGCCTTGTTTTAGGTTTAAACAAATGTTATTGTATTATTATACTTTCAAAAACAGTTTTCGACATTTTTTCTCAGTGCATTAAAAACTCAAATTAATATGAAATGAAATGTTTTTAATTGTTTCTCTATATGGGCATTGAATCAATTATCCATTTAACTTAAGTATGTTTTATTTTTAAATAATTTAATTTCACTTGTATCAAGCAATTTCATTGGCTGAATCATTCAGAGGAACATATAATATTTTGGAAACAAATGTCACAATTTTGTATTATCCGCTTGACGTTACTTTTAAAATAACAATTTGAAGTCTTTTTCCGGAAGAAATATTGTCTCATTGTCTACACTGGAATTAAATTATGAAATGAAATAATTTTAACTGTTTTTCGATATAACAAAATGGGCAGTTTACGCTTTTTTATAAACCGCTTCGCGGTTTATAAAGCGTAAACTGCCCCAAGTTATGTTATATCGGATAACATAAGTTGAAATTAGCTTCATTCCTTAAATAATGCATCTTATATACAATGTTATTCAAGATGGAGATAATCAGCGAAATGAAATAAATTTGAAAACATAATTTTACACAGTCGTCCTTATCACGATAATTTGATTCACAATAAAGAACTTCATGTCTGAAATTTGAATCTTTAAACATATGAATAGAAAAGAAGCTCAATATATTATACAATCTTTATTTCAGTCCTTAGTATGCAAGAAGAAGAAAAATATAGTCTCATAAATCCATTAAAAAAATATTCAGTAAATTTCGGCAGACGAAATTGTGAGTAGAATTTCGGAAAATGAACTATCAAGATATATATTTTTGAAGTAATACTTTATATTTTAGAGTCATTGTAATTTGTTTGTCGATAAAAGATATATTGTTAAGTATAATTTTAAACTACTCATGACGGTTCAGAATTTCATGGTAACACATTATAGATTGAATCAAACGACGCTTTGTATAAATATTTCTTCATAGGATTTTGATAGTTCATTGTGACCACCCTGCTGTACCGAGCACCATCGGCGGATCTAATAAAAAAAATTAAATTACTTCAAGAATAGGTATGTGAAAATAAAGATAAACTTTAAAAAGACGAAGCATTGTTCGGAACATACATTACAAATGGTTAATAGACCATAAATCTTATCTGGGTCACGATTCATGTAGTACTGACCTTGGAGTTCATCAATGAGAAAATAAACCCTTTTTACTTTTAAAAAAAGGTTATCAATTACATGTATAATGGCAAATCTTTTTAACACATACTCATTTACTTTTTTAAAAATGTTTTCAAGAACCCACCTTGTTCTGAAATATATCGTTTCTTTTCCCACAATTATCAAATTAGACGTAACCAATGACCAGGTTTGTTTATTGTCTACGCTGAATTCCACAGCCATTTCTGGCAGTGCAGTGTTTACTAGGATGGCATCATTCAAAATTCTTGAGAAAAGAAAAAAAAATACGAATGTTAAAGAATATTTTCGAGAATTAGTTGTGGGTCAATGGCAGAAAATATATACTATTAAAATTGAAAAATCTTTTTTTTTGAATAAGTATATAATGCATAGGTATTTTTTTTTTAGAAAAACAACGTAAAACTCATTTGCGGAAATTATTTATTTACCGGTATGTAGTCTCTTTCGCAGGTGTAAATAATATAGTCATTTCTGAAAAATCATCTATTTTGATAAAAAAGTGCTGCTAGAATTGCATAAAGATGGGTAAGCAAAATAACCATCACGGCATCATATTCAAATGAAACTTTACCCGGAGTTGCTGTAAATAATTTTATAAACATATAGTTCGTAAGAATTTAAAAAAAACCATGATTTACTGTCCTGTCAGTAAAATAATTATTCCGCACATTAGCACTATATTTTGAAATATCCAAGCTTATTGTAAAATCCTTAACTCGGGAAGTTACATTTTTTTAAAAGGAAAACTTTTTTGGCCATGTTTTGAAATATGGCTTATTGTTGTTCTGTTGCATTTTACAGTTTTGTTCAGGAATGACAGAGATACGTACATGTATATAGCTGACTGTCTTCGAAGGAAAATATAATCGATAAAAATAGATAGGTTTACCCGTTAAATTAACTGTACTCCACATGAATTTTACATAATTTCTCTCTCTCTTCTCTCTATCTCTCTCTCTCGCTCTTCCTCTCTCTTTCTTAAAATAAAAGAAACACATCATTCTGTTTCTTTTGAAATATGTATATAATGTTGTGTGTTGTGTGAATAAAAAAAACAAAAAAAAAAAAAAAACAAAAAAAAAATAAATAAAAAAATTCACATAATTTCCACGATATTTGCTTTAAAACTCCATACGTATATTTCTACATGCCGTCTAATTCTCTTTACACGACATGATCAATTTACAAGTTACTTGATATACACATAATTTATGATGTTATTGGTGGTAGATTTTAATCAAAATGACAGATGTAGCAGAACAAAGTAAAAATATTAGGTTTTTGCTAATGTTTACACTTTTCTATTCATTTTCTAGAGTTGAATTACCTCTCTAAATACCAATATTAAGAAAACTTCTAAAATTGACGACGTCATCTCGCCTACTACGACCTCATAATGTTGCACTGATGTAGTCAAGGTATAATATTTTGTAAGCTCTCTTATTACCCCTGCGTTGCGATGAATGGAAACAAAAATATTTTTTATTAAATAAATGAAAATATATATACATGTAATTATATATTTTTTTCTTTACCTTGCTCCGGGTACAGGTATTCTATATTTTATTCCAATTTTATCTAATCTCAGTAATTCTTTCTCAGCTATGGCCATAGAAAATGATATCCATTCCTGATCTATTTTCTTGATCCGTTCCTCCTTGTTTTGGATCCCTTCCCATTGTGGCTGATTCCACGCCCGCTCTGCTACAGCAATAAGACGAGGGAATATCATTTCATGTAGTTCCTCTGCAGTTCTCATTGTTTCCGTCCATACCTGTGCTTGCATACCTGTCATTATTAAAAATACAATATGGTAGGATTGCATACGATATAGCCTGACCCATATTTTTAGTATTTGGATATTTACTTGAATAATACGTTAATGGTAATCTAACAACCAAGCTTGGTAATAAACGTGATGAATTTAACATTTCTATTATCAACTTCCTGTACTTATGCAGCAATATAGCTGTATCGCCTAGGTACGGATTTATACATCTTATTTTATTCGATTCTCAAAAGCATGCCCTACGTATAAATAATTTCTAAAAAGTGGTTTATTATTGACAAATTGATGAAACAAGAATATCAGCATTCTCGTTTAAAGTCATTATTTCTTAAGTTCTGTGGTCGATACAATGACCTTGTAAATAATACAATTTATAACTGAGTCAAATACTGACTGACTTTGATCACACTAATTGTTGACCTTGTAAGAAAATACAATTTTTTTTTAAGTCAAATATTAACTGACTTTGTTCACAGTAATTTTTGACCTTGCAAGAAAATAGAATTTATAACTGATTCAAATACTGACTGACTTTGTTTATACTAATTGTTGATCTTGTTAGAAAATACAATTTATAATTGAGTCAAATACTGACTGACTTTGTTCATACTGATTGTTAGTTCCTGATTTATACACAGAGTTGACGACAATTTTCTTTGTTATTTTCCGATCATGACAAGGAGCACACTACCTGCTGGCAGGGGATGCTCACTCTTTCCTGGCACTTGATCGCATCTCTGAAGATTTGGAGTCTGCATTTGTTCTGCTCCTATTTTTGGTATTTTTTTAGTACACTTTTGATCTTAAATAATGTTCTTTATCTCCATATGTTTCATTTTAGTAAATAAAAATGATTTTAAATGTTATTATTTAAAAAAAAAAATTATTCAGGTTTTTAGTTACATGTATTAATCTTTCTGAAATCAGAGGTCGTTATTTTTTACGTATCTTTAATATTCTTCAAACATTTATTTAATGTTAGGATTAGCACTTGTATAAACATATTAAATGATTACTAATTCCTTCAAATCACAAAGTACGTAATCTCAAAAACCATCTGAAAAAAGACATCAAAATGTTTTTAATTTCATATAGTTTACTTAATCGATATCTAAATGTACATTTCCGATATGGATTTTTGATCAACTATTTTTTTTTTGTGCGCTTGGATCGAAAGATCCGAGGCGTATATTGTTTTTGCCCTTTTTTGAATGTTTGTTTATCTGTTTGTCTGTATGTTGTCATCTTTAACTTTACTTTACAATAACTTTTGAACCATGAGAGATAGATACTTCATATTTGGTTCGTGCATGTACTCAACTATTAAAGCTCTTTCAAATGACACCAAGCTCAATGACCTTGTGACCTTGACTGTGACATATATGCTTAAACAAGCTGTTTCGAACTCTGTTGCAGTCGGGCGCATAGTGTTTCACAAATACATCTTTGCTTTTATCAAAATTTTCAAAGGGATAAACAAAATAATAATAATAAAATTTAATTGAGAAGAATGCATGAATTCTAGATTTCGAAAAAAACACACACATTAAGAGCATAATAACGTATTTTAACATATAAAGAAATAAGTGTAAAAACATGTTAGAATAATTCACACAAACTCAATGTATTGATATACACACCGATAATATTGTTTGGATCTTTTAACTCAGTACACGTTCCATTGTTTGGACATATTTGGTTACGTTTGAGAAGATGTCCATTTCCATCTTTATCCGCATTATAAAAGATATTTGAAGGCACAAACCCAAAGACTTTCCGAGTGTCTATAAATCTTGATGCCCACGATGCCCCCCGTTCTTCTGGGTCGGGTTCTTGGGTATGGTCAAGATAAAGATGTGTCGCATGCCCAAGTACAACCTTCAGTGTAGAATAGTAAAACTACGCTTTATAAACCGCGAAGCGGTTTATAAAAAACAAGTTATGTTATATTAAAATATCACTTAACTCATTTCTTTATAATTTCAATGTAGACAATGCTCATTTTTCCATTTTTTTCGGAAAAAGATAAATACATTTTTTAAAATAATAATTCGTTTTTGACGACTCATTGTGACGTACAAGTTATGCAAAAAATAAATCTAAATATTGAACTGAAATTAAATTATTAATATTTGACTTAAAATATCACGTAACTCATTTTTTCATAATCAATCATCCTTTAGTAAAACAATATTAATTCATTTGACAAGACTATGCTAAATCTCAATATTTACTTTGTTATTCCAAAACATATAATTGTGCAATGATAAATTATGGATGTTACAAAAAATCTTCAATATAAATCATTTTTTTTTGTATACAATTGCGTAGAGTTTATTTAATTTTTTTTTTCAAAATAAAGAGTCCCCAGGAAAAGGGGAAAGTAGCCGCATATTTCATGTAACTATAATTTGGACAAAAGATACATGTACATTTATTTACCTTATACCCAGCATTCGCCAACTTATAAGCACTCTCTCCCTGTCCCCATTCCCAAATGTTATTCCAGTTGTAAGCCATTACACTTCTATAAATAAACAATTAGTAAATACCTCCAAAATTAGAACAAATATAGAAGGAACTTTCTATTTCTTTTATGCAGACAAAAAATGCATACGCAGTGTAGCTACATGTATATTGTAAATACATTTAATATTAGATCGATAAAAGGGGGATATCATATTATCATAAACTTTCTAAAAATCAATGTATTTGTAAATAAATCATACATATATGCGCATTAGTGAAATGAAGACTTGGATTTTGAATGTTTAAGCTGTGCTACCTATTGGTTGGCAAATTTGTTAGATTCATACGACCATCGTCATCCGTATACATTTCTTCCCAAGCACCAGTTGTTAATCCCTCTTGATCCAGAATTTGCACAAGTTGTTTAACAAAGTATTTTCTGACGTCACTTAAACCATTTCTAGCGAGCAGAGCTTGACATTCTGGAGAATCTTTCCACACATTTGCCATACCGTCTCCTAGACATAGTCATATTTAAGGGGGAATGTCACACCAACATTTTATTTCAAAGACCTTAAAGACATCCCTATCAAATTACCATTTATTTACAGGAAATATTTAACTCAAATTTAATCTAACATCTATTTTGGATAAAAATACAAAAAAAAATATCATATAAAATAATTAAAAGTTATAATTATTGGTCTTTCATTTCTAACACCATTGTTTAAAAAGGATGACTTTGAGATCTATGAAATAAAAAAAAGTTGGTGTGGCACTTCCCCTTTAAAGGATATTAGTAAATAATTTATATAAAAAAATCGTTTTTTTTTTAAATTGTTATTTTTAGTTTAAAAAGTTTGTATTGTGTCGAAAATAATTAGCTACTCCGTTCCATTTGTTTGGGACAAAAAAAAATATATAATACCACCTGGAGGAAAACATTGTTTACCTCCTATATGGAACATCTGCAGAGGCTGTACCCCTAAATGCATTTCTTTCACTGCTTTAATGACATATCGTATGAATTCAACTGTTGAATTCATACAAATATTTATGGCATTGTCTGCAAACATTTGCATGGTCAGGTACTTAGTAGTGTCCCCAAAATCTGTCAAGAGGAATTGTCTGGCAGTCGAAATATTTCCATATTTTGTGTACTTCCGGAATCGTGCCTCCATTGATTTCTTTGCTGCGCGACAGTGAATTGGCAGTGTTATTTCGGGAATCACTTCAATATGACGTTCACTTCCAAAATCTAAGATTTCCCTGTAATCATTTACTGTATAAAATCCGGAACCGTAGCCATTTTTGGAGGAACCTGATCCTAGTTGTGGAAGTAAACAGTCATTTTCCCCAGAATCATGACACCTAACAGAACCAATCTGTTTAAATACAAAACATAACTTGTGTAGCTTGTTTTAAAGTGTCATTTAAATACGAAATAAATTAAAAGGTAATAGCCATTTTGAATTCAGCTTTCTTGGTATTTTGACAAGCTGTATAAGTTAATACTTGTATTCTTGTAAATTTACCTGAAACATTTTTCTTTTAATTCTTACATATTTATTTTATACCGTGTTGAAAAAAATTAAACACAAAGTTAATAGAGACCTCACCTGTCACTGCAGCCTTAACATACCTCTGTCAGTTCTGGTATTCCTGGAATCTGAAGTCTCCAAGCTTCGTCGTCTGTTAGATGTATATGGAACTTATTTAGTTTGTATGTGGCCATGGTTTCTAAAAGCTTGAATATCTCCCCCTTCGGTTGGAAATTTCGACTTATATCCAAGTGCATTCCGCGGTACTGAAATCGAGGTTGATCTTTGATTGTCACCACCGGAAGTTTTTTGACGCCATTTCTGTTTTGAATTAAGCTTTATAAGGTTTTAAAAGCATAAAATACGCCCTTACTGGTGTGTGCTAAAATCCTGATTATAGAAGTTGATACATCTATTTCATATGCTTCATCACGGGTGTGTGGATTGTGTAAAATGTTCAAATGTGTTGCTGTCTTAAGGGTTATATACTTATGGTGGGGTCTGTTCTGTATGCTTAAATTGAAAAGATCTAAAAATCAATAGAAAAAGTAAAAAAAATTACTGACAGATTTCACTAATATATTAAACATTTTTGCTAGAGTTTATTCTGAATTTTCATAAATAAAAAAAGTCGTATGATATAAAACCCATGTACTATCAAGTACTATCAATAATAACAGTGCTATTCTGTTTTATTCCAAAATGAACTGGAGTTGGTATGATTTGTTTAGCTTCCATTCCAGAAACAGTCATGACGTCATTAATGTTATATCGCTTCTGTGGACTGTAAGGTGAGTAGGAATCACCCGAAAAGCGGTGGTATTGCTCAGGTCTAACAAAAGGATCAACAAAATTCAAAGATTCGCTTGTACTTGACACGATGTCTTTTGCCTGCATACCTTCGGCAGCAACATACCAGTTTGGCATTGAATCTGTTTTTGCAACTTGATAGCCTTTAGCAAGTAGAATGCATGTCACAGATCTAAATTCTGAAAGTTTGAAATTTCTGTCTGGTTTTAATTTAAACAAAGATCCTCCCACATGGAATAAACTTAAATGGCAGTCCCTTAATGTGTATCCATGGGGGTATGGATATTCATCTGGTTGGAGAAGGTGTGACGTGAAGAAACTAATTTCCCAATTTCCTGAACCGATTTTTTTAATTCCAGTGTTATTCAAACTAATAGACATTGAGTGTTTTCCAGTTTTATTAACGTTACTTATCACTTCCAGTCGAACCACTACATTGTTAGCAATGTAATCGACCAAGTGTTGTTCTGCAGCTGCCAGTGGTTCATCTAAAAAGATTTTTTTTCTCTTTTATTCAGGTTTTTGTCAGTTTTTTTTTTTCACAACAGACCCTTATGCTTTGATAGCAACGTTATAAATAAAGATAATACGCAGATTGATGCATAACGAAGAATAAGAATTAAACATCCAATTTTCTATTCATATTTACTTTCGTGTAATTGCAAGCATATTCCAGAAAGTATTTTTTTTCCTAAAAATTGAATCCATTTGGACAAAATCATTTGCAAGTGTATTTTGACAACAACATGTATAAAATTAAAATGTCAATTCAAAAAAAAAAAGAATTAAGGAGCTAAAGGACTTATTTCTTCGTGCTCTTTAATTTTTATGCTCTTAAAATTGCCTTATGACAGACAAAAATATTACTTACAAACTTGCTTTGAGACACACTTCATTATGTATAAAATTGTTGTTTCTTTTCTAATCCAGTAATATACTTACCTGGATAAAAAGTTATTGTTCTGCTGAATCGCTTTCCATCTCGAGAACTAATTATTAAAGATATAATACAATTATTATTGTTTATACAGGGCACTGCAAACCAAAAAGCTTACAATTAAATCAATTTTTATACATAACAATTAAGTACGGTATAATGTGATATAATATGATATAAGATAATTTCATAAAATCATTATAATGATTTGTTAAATTATTCTGGCATAGGCAACACTTGGTAAAGGATATCACGTTGTTTCTCATTCAATTAAGTCGCGCTTTTTTTCCAAAATTAAAACATTATCTTTTATCCAAATTGTTAAATATTCTTTTATAAAGATGTACTAAAAACGGTCTAATATTTTCAGTGTTTTACTGATCAGTCATTAAAACATGGATATTTGACCACTGGGTAAGATATTGGACATGTTACTTAGGTATTGAACCTCTCACGTTACACTGTTGGAAAGATTTGTCTGTTTTTACGTTGAGCAACAGCTTGATTAAGATTTAAAATCATAAATCTTTCCTTTGGGTTTTATTTGTTTTCTTTAATTTTTGGGCGAGATAGAAAAAAAAAAGATATTGATTGATTGATTGTATACTGTTTAACGTCCCTATCCAGAATATTTCATTGATATGGAGACGTCATCATTGCCGGTGAAGGACTGCAAATTTAGGCCTATGCTCGGCACTTACGGCCCTTGAGCAGGGAGGGATATTTATCGTGCCACACCTGCTGTGACACGGGGCCTCGGTTTATACTGTCTCATTCAAAGGACCGCCCCATTTAGTCGTCTTTTACGACAAGGAAGGGGGTACTGTGGACCTATTCTAACCCGGATCCCCACGGGGCAGAAAAGAAGAGAGGGCGAGAGGTTAGCGTATTTGAACTTTATCGCAATTAATCGTTAAGGTCTAGTAAGTAGTATTACAAAGAGAAACAATATCTGTACATCATATCGGATTTTCATAACTTTGTTTTTTACCATTGCATTTAGGGGAAACAAACCTTGTTCTAAGTTGTATAGAGGTATTTATTGGTCGAAGTCCACTTGGAACATCTTGCCATATGATACCATTATCTGTGCTGTATTGTACAATATGACCAGGAAACTCCGTCTTCACATGAAGTGTACCGTTCTTTATTCTGTGAAACAATTTTTTTTACATCAGTTTTGATTGACCAGTTTACTCCCTTCCCAACATTCAAAGATTTTAATGCATATACCATTTCCTATTTTAAACACCCTCGCAATCATGTAATTTTTCAAGCAATTTCAGAATTAAATTTCATGTTCAATTTGATGCCAATTCTTTTTATACTAAAATAATATAAAATCGAAAAAAAATACATTCGTATTAAAATATTTCATACATTATTTAGGCTAAATTTGAAGAGAAACGTTTGCCGCGCTATTGAATTCTTGCAGGGAAAGTATAACCTTATTCTTCTATGGCGTGAACACCGTGTCACAGTTCAGTGAGTTGTAAAAATCGATAGATAGATCTATATTACTTATTTTAGGTAAACTCTAAATTGTTTGATATGTTATAAATAACATATATAATATAAAAATATACCGAATGATAAAGATATGTATGGACTTTTAAATCAGATGCATGTTTAGCTCACCTGGGCTGAAAGCTAATTAGTGAGCTTTTCTAATTTTCTAATTTCTATATTGATCTGCCTAAGAAAATGATATGAGTCGTACGTATATTGCATACACATTTTGGATTTTCTGTCCTTGATATTGAATACAGAGTATATGTTTATTAAGGCTGTTGTTAAAAAAAAAACAAGTAATTGTAAAAAATAAAGACAATAAAAATTTGAATTCTGAAGCTTGTAAAAACCTAAAGCATATTCGAACTTATTGCTAACTTACATTGCACCTGGCGGAGAAATTCTGTAGTTTATTCCTAATCTATGTAAGCGATCAAATTCTTTTTGACCAATTGTGTTTGCAAAAACACCCCAGTCAAATAAAGAGGCTGATTCACCATCTGGGATATTTAAATCTAATTCTTCCCAACTAGCTTTGTGCCACGCTGTTTCAGCAAGAGACAGTATTCTTGGAAACACCATATAGTCAAAGATTTCAGACGTCAGCAATGTTTCGCTCCAGAGATTGCCTTGTATACCTGGAAATGCATACAATGAGTTGAATCAGTAAATTTTAAGAAATAGTGTGCAAACATTTCCATGCTTAACATTTTTAAACAATAGAATGTATTCAAAATCTATGAATGACGCTAGCTTACCGATTATATTTTTCCTATTTATCAGCGGTGGACAGTTGATGTCTTTCTTCCCACAAACCTGTTCGTATGTTATCTTCTCTCCAGAACGTTTTATATCAATGTTTTTGTATAGTCTGTCCGGGCGGAACCGGAAGGTTTTAGCAACGTCCGTGTATCGTGTGGCCCAATATAAGCCGGGCTCTTCCGGATCCGGTTCATTGGGTTGGTCGAAGTATAAATGAGTCGCTTGTGCCATGATTACCTTTGAAAATAAGAAAGAATCGAAGAAAAGGAAGAAAGAAGTACATGTCTGAACAAAATTTTGATTTATATGAATTTTTTTCTGTCATCAATGAATTGATAGGTAATAAAAAAGGAAGTAAATGAAAAATTAAAAGTATGTTGTTCAAGGCTCTATTTTGCTTCTATTTTGCATCTTAGTTCCAGGACGGTTATTCTTAAGTTTTCTGACAGTCGACAATATCACATATCTTTCTTATTATTAAAAAAATATCGCTTGCGTGGCGCATTGGTTAGAATGTCTGCATTACAGTCTCAGAGTAAGGAAGTGATCCTTGCGTCGTGGTTTCCAAACCAACTGTTGGACGTTGTGACCGGCACTTTGGGTGAAGCCGTATAAACCTAAGAACTTTGTATTTATAGGCATAGGCTCAAAAAAAATCCTCAATACTCCATGGCCATGAGTATAGAGCATAGGACAAAATACTTATTCCTCTTTTTGACAAATTGTGGCGTCGCCATATGATAACCATTTTTAGTAAAAACTTTTTTATCTGATAGACAATATGGTTTCAGACTTTATTTTCTGTATATCTCTGTAATTTTTTATGCGCCCGGATCGATAGATCCCGGGCGTATATTCTTTTTGTCCTGTCTGTTTGTCTGTTTGTCTGTCTGTCTGTTGTCAACTTTAACCTTCGCCATAATTTTTGAACCATAAGAGATGGAGACTTCATATTCAGTCTGCATACTCCACTAATTAAGTCCTTTCAAATGACATCAAGGTCAATGACCTTGTGAAATTGACTGTGACAAATATGCTAGAAATAGATTTTTCCACTGTTTGTCATAACTTTTGAACCATAGGAGATAGGGACTTCATATTTGGTATACTTACTACACTAATAAAGTCCTTTCAAACGACGACAAGATCAATGATCTTGTGACCTTGACTGTGACCTATATGCTAAAAATAGCTTTTCACACTTTTTGCCACAACTTTTGAATCATATTAGATAGGGACTTCATATTTGGTATGCATACTTCACCGATTAAGTTCTTTCAAATGACACCAAGGTCAATGACCTTGTGACCTTGACTGTGACAAATATGATAAAAATAGTTTTTTTGAACTTTGTTGCCGCCGGGCCCATAGTGTTTCACAAACACATCTTGTTTTTTCTGTTATAGAAAGACAATATTCTGGAGTTTAACAAAAAGCATTTCAGTATTGAAAACGTGCCAGTTAATAAGAATGTATCTGATAGGGCTTTCAAGAACGAAATCTGAATATCATTTGAGGACCTTGTCTGAACAAGTTTGCATATAAATATAACAGTATTTCTGGAAAAAGGAAATATCATTATTACTTAAGATTCAAAATCACCTTATATTATTTACAAGACAATTTTATCCTTATTTGTATTTCAAATGAAATTAAAACAGGCTTTTAATAGAAATGAAGAAAAAAAAATAGAACTAGCTTACCGTATAACCACTATTTGCAAGGTTATAGGCTCTTTTTGCTGCACCCCATTCCCAAACATTTTGCCAAGCATTTGCGTATACTTTAGAATTTGGTATATAACTCCTGTTGTATGGAATCCCATTATGTCCCAAAAATCCATCTTCCCACCCCGCAATGTTAAGTCCTAGCCGATTAGTGATATTAGATACGCGATGTACAAAATATTCTTTTAAGAGTCCGGCGTCTGAATAGGAAGAATCACGCTCCGCCATTTTTTGGCATTTTGTTGAATTTACCCACGCACCCTTTGCCACTTCGTCTCCACCAAAGTGAAAGGTTTTTAATCCCGGGTGGATTTTCAACATTTCTTTCAGTACTTTCTCAAAGAATATATACGTGGATTCCACGCATGGGTTAACAGCGTTGTCATTGTACATTTGAACAGAAAAATAATTACTTGTATCATTAGGATCTACCAATCTATACTGGTTTGCTCTAGTTAAATTAGTTGTCTTGTATCTTAAAAACCTTGCTTCCATGGCTCTTATTGCAGCTCGAGAATGACCAGGCATGTCAATTTCCGGAATTATTTCAATATGGCGTTTTTTAGCTTCGAGGACAATTTCAGTATATTCGGAAACATTTAGGAAGCCAGAACCGGAGGTCAATTCGTCTCCCCCCGATCCAAGCTGGGAAATTATACACTTCGTTTCAGTAAGATCATGGCATCGTTTTCCTGCTACCTGTTGACAAAAATGTTTTTTTTTTAAGTCGATTTCACTTTCAGCAGCGAAATTTCTATTTATTTATTAACATTTTAATGATGATGAAAAAGTTGTCGGTAATTTCTACCTCCAAAAATTAGATACTATGGTTTATTTATGCCTTTATATCTTAAACATTTGGAAACTTCCATGAATGCAAAACGGTGGTATAGAAAGCAATTACAACAGCTAATCCGTCTTTAGTTTTATTAATTTGTTTATAATGTTCGAATAGTACATCAATAACCAAGGCACTTACTTGTGTTAGCTCAGGTAGATCAGGGATTTCTACCCGCCATCCTTCATCGTCAGAGAGATGTAGATGGAGTTTGTTTAATTTATACATAGCCATTCCATCCATCAATCGAATAATGTCTGCTTTTGATCGAAAGTTTCTAGCTATATCTATATGCATTCCTCGGAACTCATATCGAGGCTCGTCTAGTATAGAAACTTCTGGAACACTCATTTTGTCAGAAGAACCATCCATTAGACTTATCAGCGACTGTGCACCTTAAAATGCACCTTTGGTCGTCTGACCAATTATATTAATTCTTCTGTCTTTTAATTTAACGAGTAATTTGTAAGCCTCACTGTTATTTCCGAGGAGAGGGTCAATGGAGAGAGATATTTGGTTCTGTGTGTTTGTCTGTGTATTATTGTTAACTATCAACGAAAAACCAAGTCTTTCTAGAAAAAAGAGAATTTTTAATGTAGTAAACATAGGATTCTTTTCTGGTTTCTGACTAGATAACATATTCAAAGTACAATTGCGTGTATGCCTTATAAATTCAAGTATATGGGATTAAAAAGATCTGATTTTCCTTTCCCCATCAGAATTGTACAAATTAAAATAGAAATAGACATCTGCGTTTGAAAAATAGCAGGGATATATTTTTGGTGGAATTGTTAAGTATGAAAATATCTACTTTTTTTTTCTCTAAAAAACATTATAGAACAATGAATTTTGTTTTACTTTTTTTTTACTTTTTACACAATCAAAGAATTGAAGAAGTTTCCAAATATAAGTTACGCAAGTGAGTAAAGGCAACATATGCCTTTCCATGCAAATTAGCAAGTAAAAATGCAGAAATTATATATTTTCTACACATCGAAAGTTAAGATAGATTTTTTTTATTCATGCTTAGTACCCACAGCATGTTAAAGCTAATGCACATGATAGCGTAATATTATGAGGTCATTGTTCTTTCCCATTCAAGGTACATGTAATGAAATACATCAAAAAACGCAAGGGCATGTCGTTTAAATTTAAAATAAAAAATGAATAATACTTAGTAGAGTATTCTAAAAATTATTATAATTGCAATACAAATCCTATGCACTTTCTCAAACGATAAAAATCTGAGGAAAAATACACTTGACTGTTAATTTTACCCTATTTCAACTCAAAACTGTTCGATTAGCAACTAAACGTTTGCGTCCCTAACAAAAAAATACTATAGTTAACTATAGTTAACTATAGTTTACTATAATTAACTATAGTAAATCAAAGTGTCAAAGTTTTCGTCAAAGTTTTTCAAAGTGTCAAAGTTTTCGCCAAAGTTTTTCAAAGTGTCAAAGTTTTCGTCAAAGTTTTTCAAAGTGTCAAAGTTTTCGTCAAAGTTTTTCAAAGTGTCAAAGTTTTCGTCAAAGTTTTTCAAAGTGTCAAAGTTTTCGCCAAAGTTTTTCAAAGTGTCAAAGTTTTCATCAAAGTTTTTCAAAGTGTCAAAGTTTTCGCCAAAGTTTTTCAAAGTGTCAAAGTTTTCGTCAAAGTTTTTCAAAGTGTCAAAGTTTTCGCCAAAGTTTTTCGAAGTGTCAAAGTTTTCGTCAAATTTTTTCAAAGTATCAAACTTTTTGATAAAATTTTCCAAAGCATCCAAGTTTTCGATAAAGTTTTTTAAATTTTCAATGTTGGCGATAAAGTTTTATAAAGTGTCAAAGTTTTTGATAAAGTTTTTCGATGTGTTAAAGTATCCAAGTTTTCGACAAAGTTTTTCAAAGTGTTAAATTTTTGATAAAGTTTTTCAAAGTATCCAAGTTTTCGATAAAATTTTTCAAAGTATCCAAGTTTTCGATAAAGTTTTACAAAGTATCAAAGACTTCGATAATGTTTTTCAAAGTGTCAAAGTATTCGATAAAGTTTTTTCAAGTGTCAAAGTTTTCAATAAACTTTTTTAAAGTTTTAAAGCATCCAAGTTTTTGATAAAGTTTTTCGAAGTATCCAAGTTTTTGATAATGTTTTTCAAAGTGTCAAAGTATTCGATAAAGTTTTTCAAAGTATCAAAGTTTTCGATAAAGTTTTTCAAAGTATCAAAGGTTTTGCCAAAGTTTTTCAAAGTGTCAAAGTTTTTGCCAAAGTTTTTCAAAGTGTCAAAGTTTTCGCCAAAGTTTTTCAAAGTGTCAAAGTTTTCGTCAAAGTTTTTCAAAGTGTCAAAGTTTTCGCCAAAGTTTTTCAAAGTGTCAAAGTTTTCGTCAAAGTTTTTCAAAGTGTCAAAGTTTTCGCCAAAGTTTTTCAAAGTGTCAAAGTTTTCGCCAAAGTTTTTCAAAGTGTCAAAGTTTTCGCCAAAGTTTTTCAAAGTGTCAAAGTTTTCGTCAAAGTTTTTCAAAGTGTCAAATATTTCGTCAAAGTTTTTCAAAGTGTCAAAGTTATCACTATAGTAAATCAAAGTTTTCAAAGTGTCAAAGTTATCACTATAGTTTACTATAGTAAACTATAGTTAACTATAGTTAACTATAGTATTTTTTTGTTAGGGGTTTCTTAAAAAAAGGAAAGCTCTGCATAGATTTTTATTTAGTGTTTTACACATCTTATAATTAAGAATGTTTGGAGGTAATTGTAGCTCTTCAGATTAAGATTGCAGGGTACTTGCATGGTCAATTCGTAAAGTGTTAATTACTGTTTTTATAACATCATGCCGTTACCCAGACAGTCCTGTGGTTTTCTTAATGATATAAAAATTTCACCGTTAAGTACTTTTAAGTACAGTATGTCTATATTTCCGCTATCTATTAAATTATTATATAACATTTTTGGAAAAGTTTTCTTATTATATCACAAATATAATAATACTTGCTATAAACCCTGAAAAATGCTGAATCACACTGGAAACAGTTATGTCACACCGGAAACAGTTATGTCACCCTTTCGATCACGTTCACATGTTTTTACGATGCGCATTTTAGTTCGGGTTCGAGATTTTATGACGTCGGTTGCTAAGCAAGAGTAAATAACACAGCGTAATTTCTTAACGTCAAGAAGGCATTTTTGGATTTTTTGTGTAAATTGTAATGATTTGAATGATTTTAAATTTTCTTTTAATTTTAAAAATGTCATAGAAAATATACCACATGGCTTCTCGGGCAACTGTACCAGAATATTTGCCCCTCGGTGACAGGAAAGCCCTGGAGTGTTATGTCACCCTCTGCCTTCGGCATCGGGTAACATTACACTCCAGGGCTTTCCTGTCACCTCGGGGCAAATATTCTGGTATGTCACCCTCGAAGCCATGTGATATATGTATCATAAAGAACGTTGTAAATTGTAAATAAAGTAAGAGTTCAGACATAGACTAGTTTTGATTATGGTGACAAAACAGAATTAACTTTATCATCTGCGTTGGAAAATTACCCTCTCTGACTTCTCAGGCAAAATTCATGGTTATCTTAATTTTTTCGTATCTATTGAAATTGAAATGAAATATACTCTTATATACATCAAATTTCCCGCTCAAAATAATAAAAGAATGTAACTTCTAACGTCTTATTAGCTTTTTTTGTATATGAAAAGAAAATGTCAAAATGTATATCTTGTTATGACTAACCGAATAATCGGTCGGAACGTTTTGCGGTTCTGCAATCGATTACCATCCCTATTTTTAATAAGTTTGTGTCATTTGTTCTTAAATGTAGTCTTTCCAAAGGTGAGCTTTATTTAAAATGAATTAAATATTCACTGTATTATATATTATCGATAGAACATCATTATGAGGACCACTCTCTTTTTACTTACTTGATAAGTATACTGCTTCTTCTTTTAAATCTGGTGTACATACAACTGTCATGTTGTGAATCTTCAAAGAATTATTTGAATGTATTTGAATGTCTTTTGGCGTTGGTATAACTAATTTTAAGGAGTTGGTTGGTATTTTATCCTCATATTTTCTGTAGCGTTCCTGTGCCGTGTATGGATTGTATTGGTCGTTCCGGTACCTCTTCCATTGTTTTGGAGAGATGAAGTCGGTCACAAAACGCTTTCCTGTAAATGTTGATTGAATGTTGACGGGTTTTAAGGACGGTGCAGCTATATACCAATTTGGTGGGAAATCTGTCCTAGAGACGGTCCAGTATTGTCCGTAAAACTCAACAAAATGTCTCTCATATGCATAAAGTTTCGGAAAACCGGACGTCGGGGACATGCTAAACAAGCACCCCTGTATATGATTTATTTTCAAGTAATAGTGCGGAAGAATATATTCTTCAGCTGATGGGAGGTGATCAGGTTCAATCATAAAAAAGCTACAGAAATAAATTGACCAGCCTTCATTTTCTACCATGCCCCTTCCAATGTTTGTCATATTGAGACTTAATTTATGCTTCATGCCATTTTCTTTTAAATTGTCTTCGATGGCTATTTTTATATCGAGATAGGTCCCAATATATTCCAGGTCAGCCTGTTGTATTGCATTACCTGCCACTAAAATGAGAAAATAAAATTTATGTAAGGAATCTGTATTTTACCCTTCTGGGTCTCGTACATTTATTTCCAGTGATAAAATCCCGCCGTGACAACTATGTATTGATTACTGTCCATTTTTAAGAAGGAGCTTTATAAACATTTACTCAGACAGTTTTTGTAATTTCTTTCATAGGTATATTTATAATGTGTTATGAGGAGTGTTTATATTACTTCAAATTAGCATTTATAGTAAGGTGACCAAGCTGTTTTCAAAGGAGTTGGATACAGTGCAAAAGACAATGCAAGTAGCATATACGGTGCATTTTTTTTTATTCTTAAGAGGGTATTATTTTTTTATGACTAAAAAAGTTTTAAAAATTCTTTAAATATCTACCTGTAATTGAAATCTGGGTAATACATCAGAGCATTTATTAGAAATTGTCATGTTGCAAAAAGTTTGTACCGACTTATAAGAGGTTCAGTGGCAAATCCCAGACAAATAACTTCAAAAAATACAACCGACTTATATGCGGACCGACTTATAGGCGAGTATATACGGTAGATAGATATTAAATGTAAGGTTTATCTGTATGTTTTGACAAAGTAAACATATATGATAAACCTAAAGATATTATGTAATGCAACATCATGCTAATTTTTATATATCTTTAAACCAAGGGAACATCAACTGAGATTACTTCAAGGATAAATACAAGGATAAATACCTGTAAACAATCAAAACCAAGAGCTTGATCAAAGAGATGTAAAAATTATCAGTTAAGATTTTCTTATCAAAAAATAAAGCGATCTAAATTTTCACATAAAGAGTCAAGATTTATACATATTAATTATTTTCTTCGTGTAAAATTCCATGTAGCAAAGAAAAAAAAAACATTAATAAAATAAAGATGTCAAAAACTTGCACAATCTAAATAATAGAATTCCTTAAATAAACATTTTCCCCTTATAAATAAGCTGTTTGTCTTGCTGTTTTCAACATTAGATTAAATACCCGATCAAGAAAAACATTTTAACAGATATTTTTTTTTTTATATATTTTACGTTTGAACGCCCTACAATCAGATATTGCAATATTTCAGAGGCCTGTTGAAAGTTTGTGAGGCCTCGCCAAAATTTCCTAAACCTCTGACTCTTTTTGATGAGTAGGTCTCTGGTTCCATGTGTGGTGTAAACATTCGTTTAACTAAACGAGAGGTAGGTAATGGAATGAGGATTTATTATAAGGGACAGGCCGTTAAAGTCGTGAAAATGTTTTATGGGTCTCATTTCTTTAAGGGTCACAAAAGCATCCTAGACTCTGGATTTTCTTCAAAGAAAAAAATGGGTAGGGAGGTGATTCATGATAAGAGTGTTTACCCATCGGTATCCATACATGCGTCTGTGCACCCATTGTGTTTTGCAGTTACATATTTGTAAGATCTCACATGTATATTATTTTTCTTTACTTTTAGGTAAGAATTTATAATTATATTTTGAATAGGGAAAGATAGACCATTATCGTCTTTATTAAAAACATTATTTTCTCATTTATCTATTTCTTTTTTATTATAAAAAAAATTAGAAAATCTTGAAAAAAAAACCAATATATTAATATTCTACATCAAGGTTCTTACCTGTTGCAGTTAACAAGAATAAAACTAGACGAGACATTGCAGGAACTAGGATAACATCGTCGAAATCTTTTATCACAATGATATGTCAACTTTAAGACAAGATTAAAAATAATACTTCAACAGCACGGCTGATGAACTCTGCTATCTGCATGTGTATCTAATTTTAGAACAGACTTTGTATCTAAGGAACATAAGCATTTGTACACAAAAGCAAGGCCAAGACAAACTTGATCTGGAAGAACGTATATTGTATCCTTATGGAAATTCAAACTCGTATGACCTTTTAAAAAAATATTTTTCATGTTGTATTGACAATAAGCATTTGTTTATACATTGTATGTAGCAAATTTCATATTTGTTTTATGTTCCTAACTGTTGTTGTTTTTTTAAATGCTTCTTCTTTTTTTTATTTTTTTAAATTTATCCTCTGATTTGTATTAGAAAAAAGTGAAATAATTATGTAGGACTATGTTCATGTATTGGCATTTTTGCAGAAGTTGAAATGAAATTCTATTTACGCTTTATGTTGATACTTTAATTAACTACTTAAGCTAATATTAGAAGACAATGATACTCGCTAACTTTTTAAAAATACTGTACGGGGTTTCATTACGGGCGATAATCCCTCCCTTCTTTGCAAAGAAAAGCAAACCTTTAAATCAAAGCAATATGAGCTGCATTTTTGAATTTTTTTTTTTTTTTTTTGCTGTGAAAATGTATTACTATGATGAATCTGTATGTATGTTAAACCTTTATGATCAATAAGACTAAAATAAAGCAGAAGAAAGATTGCTATATACAATTCAATATAGTTTAATATAAGAAATCGTTATTGTACAGGACGACAATAATGCAATTGTGATTTAATCGAAGCTTATTTATAGTTCTTTTATTGCAAATATGAACAAAAGAAGTTTAGTAACGTTATTATTTCTGTCAATGAAAAAGTTATTTGAAATTTTGCAACAAAAATTACCGACATCAAAGTTGCAGCTCATATTGCTTTAAGAAAAGACGCAACAGAGTGATCACCTCAAATATATATGACACAAAGATGTTCAACAACAAACTGAAATAAATGAAAAAAAATTGAACCCTTTCTCTTTTCGAAGGTACATGTAGGTTAAAGTTTTTCCTAAAATTCAATGTTGATGTTTCTTGACTAGAGGTATGTCACATTATTCTCGTCAAACTTAAAACACACATGTTAATTGTTTTCTCTAAAATTTTATTATCTTGAGTGCAGCTTCAAGCCCAAAAATGAGTAGTTATCATAAAATATAAAAAAAAAGATATATGTTTATTTTTTCCATATATGAAAATGTATTTAAAAACTGGTTCGTATATTTAATTTCGTAAAATTCGTCCGAAGAAAACATTTTTTTGCTTACTATAATACATGTAGTAGTGTACATGCACATTGGAGTGTACTTGATAAATCCATTTGTGAAGAATGCATATCAGTTTTTTATTTCATAGTCTAAACATTGAAATCAAAACTGAGATAAAAGAGTAATGACAATTTTGAAAGCAATTTAATGCTTTGTTCTGCCTGCCTAGAGCTTCTTTTGCCTTATGCACTCTACAACGCACAAAGATGATGACCTTTTGAAACATGTAAATATACATAATGCCCAAGTAATTATGTACAGCCTGTTGTCCGAATGTGAAATATTTGACCTTTTCTCTGTAAACGTTCTTCATTGACATCATTATATAAATATAAATGTTAATCAATTAGATTTATATGTTCCGCAATATACCATTTGAAGGACTTGTCCTAGCCTCGCCATAAATATTAAAAATGTTGATTAAAACGAGAAGTCTGGCTGTTTTTTGTTGTATGGATGCTGATTGCAAAGTGTCAATGCGTAAGTTTTTTTTTTTTTTTTTTTTGTTATTTACTGCTATTAGATTCATTAAGAAAAAGAGTAAGACGAGTTCAACGAGATAAAACTTATTTCACTTGAAACAACTGCAAAGCACAATATAAAACTAACTAACAGTAATAGGAGCGCCTTTCAAAAAATGTTGCAAGCTATTTGCCGATATGTTTTTCTTCAATTCAGTGTGGTATTGCTTTATAATTATTTACATGCTTTGATTTTTTTTCTTCTTATCAGACTCGATATATATTGCATGCTGATATTATTCTTTTAATTGCACATATATCTGAGTGTTCGTCATATGAGTCCTTTAAACGCAAAACTCTTGAAACTCCTTTTTCAAATACCGTTCAACGTAGCTCAGTCGGCAGATCGTTGACCTTATGATAAGGTGGTGATGAGTTCGAATCTCGGCAACACTGACCTTAAGTGATAAAAATGGTTAGCATCTGTTCCCTCGCCATGCGTTCGGCACATTGAAGTGAAAGTTGCGGATCCTTCAGATGCAACTGTAACAATTGTTGTACAATGACAAGATAGGGGTTTGCAAGATAAAGATCCCTCGCTGCTAAACGACTCTGAGTGCCCAGTCAAGGTCCAATTTTTAAGCCCTTCACCGGGATATTGCAACATCTATATGAGTGATATATTCTCAAATGAACTATAAAGCAATATAAATTCACTTCATTGTTTAAAGAATGTTGTGACATGACCCGGCGAGTTTTCCTTTGAAGTCAAGCATACTGTAACTGCGATACAGAACACTTTTGGTGGGCGTTTCTTATGCAAATGAACAGAAACTGTACTGTATCTGCAAAATATCAACGATACAGTACGGTTTATTTTTAGCGATGAGGGAAAGCTGAATCTGTGTATAGACACAAGAATCGTTCAATTCCAATGAAAACACTGTTAGTATTTACTCAAAATTTGAGGTGAATTAAGAATAAAATTTTACAACGTATAGTTATTAGTGTGGAATTCAAAAAGTTTAGAAAGGGGGGAGTTGGAAAGTTCACAAATGATTACTATGCCCCCCCCCCTCCCCGAAAAAAAATAAATGGAAACTCGTATATTACACTCGGGAAGGGGGGTAGATTTATAGCCAACCAAGACACTATGTGGTGCTATCGTTTCTTGTTGATAAATTAAAAAGCGTATGTATACAAGTTTAGCAAAATATTAAATCATTTACGAAAGTGAAAAAGAAAAAAAAAAACTCACAGGAGGGTTGAGTGGGGGCACCACTGAGTGCTGGGATACCCTTTGGTTACTCTACATTTTATTAAAAACATGAAGGTAAAATACTCCCCCCCCCTCCCCGCTTTCATTTCATTTGTTTATTTCAATTTTTTATGTTACGACAGGTGTAGGACATTGTCGGACATTTCTCTCAGAATACGTTTTCCCGGAAGTATTTTGGTTTCAAAAACATCCCCACACGATTCTTAAATATTAAAATGTTTTGCATTAAATCGTAGCTTCAATTAAAAAAAAAACGAAGTCAGCAACAGCTGAATAGAGAAAAAAAACCTAAGCAATCAAATTTAAATTAATTTTTTTGGAAAACAAATTATATAATGCATCCCCTAAATAATTATTTTAAAATGATAAATACCTGCACGTCCACCTCTATCGGCATTTCAGTTGCGAATGCTTAAAATGGGATACTAAATCAACTCTCTGTTAAAATCATCTGATTGGTTGAGAGATATGTACCCAAATATAAATGGAAATTGGTGAGGTCATTAAAAAGGTCATGTCACAAGTCATTTAGAATACTCGTTTCCTACTGTATCAGAGATACAGGGCGGGGCCCGGCTCGAGCTATCGCTCTCGCCTCAAGCCCCGCCCTGTATCTCTGATACAGTAGGAAACTCGTACTCTAAATATAACATATTAAAATGATATCAAATAACATTAAACGAATATTGACAAAATGCATGCATGAAAATGAAACGATTGAGAGGAGACATTAATTTATTTTTTTATTAATATAAAATGACAGACTTCAGAATTTATACGGAATATGGAGGAGCCGTATATAAAACCTTTGTATCTGAATGTGTCTGAGGCGGCAGAAGAAAATACAATCACTGTGTACGGAAGAATTCGGGGACCAAGAGACACGACAGGAAAGATGAAATATGGGACGATTGTCAAATTTGACAAAGGTTTGATGCATACAATCATGTATCTGTGTTTTTTTCTTATTTCATTTTAGTATTATACCCTCACAAAGAAGTACACTAGAGTTGACATCTGGTGCCATATAGTAAAGATTCCAAAATATAGTACAATACTAAGTTCAATTTTCCCATTGTTTGTTACCGTAGTCTTAAATAATCCTGCATATTCACTTTTGTAATCATAAATATTTCTCCGTTAGAACAAGGCACATATTGCTCTTTTTTATGGGATAATACACATGTAATAAGCGAACTTGAACGTAATACATTTCATGTAGTTTTCAGAAGCTTCCTAGACTAATATATTACACGTATCTTCATTTTTTTTAGTTTTTGAATCAACAGAAGGTTCAACAGACTATGAATTCGTTTTGAGCCACGACTCACGAAGATATTGGCCGAGAATTACGTTCAGTTCAAAATCAGCTTCAGAATCTATGAAGATCTATTTGAACTGGATCGTGGACGACCAAGTACAATCCGAATTTACCGGAGGAGAGTGCTTGGTCGGGATAACTAAGTCCACCGAGAACCATTCTACAACTTACACACCAGTTCTGCAGAACTGTGACCACCGCATTAGTGATTACTTTAAATTTGGATTAAATGTATCTGGTAAAGTAGTTAAGCTTCATTCAGACATGTACTGCTTTTCTGGGAATGAAGAATATAAAAAGTACTTCACGTCTAACTGTACAACGTATGGAGTTTATGACCTGTCATACGTTACCTTTCACGAAGGCAAAATGGCGGCCGACAATGTTGAACTTCTTTATCTCAATTATATGTTCGATCCCATGGGACCATGTGCATACCACTGTATTGCAGATGTGAAGGAATGGTATTTCCCAATCGTTTAGTGGAGTGAAAATCCTATGAAAACAATACGCTTGATGCAAAATGTAATATTTTCCCAAATTAAAAAAAAGAAATCTTACAGCAATGTTTGAGCTGTCTGTCAGATATCTATACCATACATACTTAATTAGTGAGTCTGAATAAATTGCTTACAGATCATGTTATATTAAAGATAATTTTTATTTAATTTCCTGTGTAAGAGTGTTTTACAAAGGACAAATCCTTTTAGTTGATAACGCAACTCTAACTTACTCAACAGTAGCATGCCATGCGTTTAAGAATTTTACTGTCAGGAGCCAACCTCGTTAAGATTTTTCCTAAACTCTTGTACATAAATTTGACTTGGTACACTGTAACATTACTTGTTTATTTGTTTCAGGAAGAAATAAATGCTCGAATAGAAAAAGAACCTTCTTTTTTATAACATGTAAGAATAGTCGTTAATGGTGCATCTAATTAAATGTTTTCTTAAAGTAAAATGTGTTTTCTAGGGTTACTATATTTTCTGCTTTTTTTTTGTGGTCATATCAAGTCACAGAAAAACTGAAGTCGATGTTCAAATCATGTTAATAATCCATGCATTAATTCTAAATGAATCAATGACATTTTGAAACCTAACATTAAATATTCTGAATTTGAATTTATTCTTTAATTTAGGGAACTGGATTTTTAAAAGGTTAATTTTGATTTACGCAAATCTGTCCTAATTTGTCGAATGATTATGAAACACATTTCAAGAATAATTATTGAGATGAATGATTCCGAAATTCTCATTTTAATGAAGTAATGATAATCATTCTCATTAAGATTTCTCGTACAATATGCTTGCGTTATATTTAATTCCAAATAAAATAAATTGAAATTGTCTTCCAACAAAATATTTCCAATGCAAGACACAAACTGCATAAACAATGTTTTTTGTAGATGTTATATATGTTTTGAATAATTGAACAAATTTAGTATTATTTTCGTGCTGGCTACCTTTAAAAGATTTATATTAGATCATGCTCTACATAGAAAATATTGGAAATTTTTTTCAAGGTTTAAAATAATTTTAAGTTGAATTAAGACACTTTAATTACAATAAGAAAATATGAAAAGAAGACATCACATTCTACAATAATTACTTAATCTCATATTTATAATGCACGAAAATTTTGTCTTTTTTTCCATATTCTCTCCAATCAGATCCTTTATATCAATACTGAGATTTATTGCTTATCTACTGATACAATCAATACTTTTTCTTTAGTAAGCCTAACATATATTTGATATATTGTTACTTGTACCTTGTTTCTAAAAATCAATTTTGAGAATTCAAAGAAAAACGTTGTAACTTTAATTTTACTGCCTGACAGATAAAGTATAACCCATGTATAAAAATGGTTTAACCGATGTCATTTAATAGTTTTTACAACATATGAATATTAGAAATAATGAAAACAAAACATTCCTAATGGTGTGCTTAATGTGTGATTAACAACGGTAATTTAGAGATATATCTTAAATATTTCGATATCCGCCTTTTACAAGGTAAACAGCTTTTGAACCTCTTGCGCAAGCAGTAACATTATTTACAGTCTTATAAAAAGTGCAGCCTAGTTTCTATGTACTTCGATGCAAGCTTGAAGACGGATGATTTATATATTTTAAACTGTTGTGGTAAATTTTCAAAATTAAAGAATATCTTCCTCATGCATATTAATGATCCTTTAATGTAATTTTCAGTCTTTGGCACCTTTTATCTCAGTTCTTTGACTTGTTTGTTTCTTTAGTGACGCAGATTTCCTACGCTTTGGCATGAGAATCACTGAAGAGAATTTTTTCTCGCAATATTCATATGATACATCAGAGTTGTAGAGTAAATGATTAAGGAACAGAGTAATTCCAATAAGTTCTTTTTTTTATTTTATAATTTGTTTTCTTTATACATGTATACAATGTAATAATATGTTTCCTTTTTTATTTTTGGCTTGAATTTTTGGATTTCCGTAAGGAACAATTCGTGCAATAAACGTTCTACGAATCATTGACATTTAGAAACCAAATATTTCATATTCTTAATTTGAATTTATTATTTATATATGAAAATAAATTTTTCAAAGGTTAGTTTTGATTTCGGCAAATCTGCCCTATTTTTGAAAGTGATTGCGGATCACATTTCAGAATTAAAAAGAATATTTTAATGAATGATTGGAAAATTCACATTAAAATACCGGTATTGCAATGCTAAAAGCTCTCATAAGAATTTATAATATGCTTGTGTTATGAAAATTCTATGAGGAAGTCTACCATCTGAACATCACTGACGAGACATATTTTTCGCCATTTGCATACCATACATCAAAATTGGTGTCCGTAAATGATTAACGAACATTCTATTTCCGAAACTAAGCTTTAGTTACAATTGAACGAGCGCTGCATCTTTGACATTTGTATTTGTACATGTAATGTCCCTTATTATAATCTATCTATATAGATTAAACTTAATGTAAGTGATATCAATCTGTCCTGAAGGTTCTGAAGGAGAATTTATTCTAGATTTATGCAAGCTGAACGTGTAAGTTCCATAATGTCCATTGCAAAGTTGAGCATCGATTTTCTTGTCCTTCAGGTCCTGGTTAATAGCTGCAATTGTGTAAGTCTGTTTTTGTTTTACTTCATCAAATACGTATTTTTTCAATATCATATTGTAAGCAATACATTTCTACCAACAATTCATTCATTAGTTTTAACGGAACAGTTATGGACAAGTTTATGCAGCACTGGTACTAAACATATTTACAAATTACCAACTTCCGTTCGACATGTTTTCGGGCCTTTTATATCACTTTAATAAATAATCATGTAACTTTGCCGCTCTGTTTTGGAATTTGGAAAATTTCACTTAACATACATAAGTAACTTTACAAGAGACCTTGATACTGTAAATGTTTTCAAAGAAGACTCCTTTTACTTAAATGTCCCTCAAAATATTTTTATGTTATGCAAAAACAATTAACAATTATTTTTCGAGAATGAGACTCAATGTAAACATCCTTAAGTCGCATTTATTTAAGGTTAGGCTTTCAGATAACACTCAGTTTTCTGTGAATATAGAAATGAAACCACTGAACACTTCTTCCTGAACTGTAAAAAATGCTAAAATTAGAACATAACTATTTTACACCATACAGAAAATAAAAGAGCAATGGAATTTGAAATGCAAGGCATTTGATTCTATTCTAATAATTATAATTATGTCCCTCTTGATAATTGTCCGATAATTTGGAAACACTACCCCTTCCTGTGAAGAGTTGTAAATTGATACATATTCTTGGGCAGTAAGAGGTCTTTTCCATGCAAACACTTCCTGCGGTATTAAACCTTCTTTTAAACATCTCATCCAAAGGACCGGTCTCAACGTCTCTAGAAATTTAGAACAGACACTCGTACCACTGCACCACACAGGCGACTAAATCGCCTAAAGCTTCGAAGAAATAACTACTTTGATATATTCGAAAACTGATTAAATTAATTGCTATTAATTTGAAACTTTATTTCAATGTTAATTGGTGATCAACATGTCGTTTATTAGTCTATTATTTTCTAAATTGCAGGCTTTCAAGACAACCGGAGCTCTTAGGCCTAATATAAAGCATCTATATCTAAATGCATTCATTTAAACATATTTTCAAAGGTATCTGGTAAGCAAAATGTCGTTACTTAGTTTATTTTTTATACATTGCAGACTTCAAACACAGCCCGAGTTCTTGGGCCTAATATAAAGCCTCTATATCTAAATGCATCGCTTTCCAGGGAGGACAAAACAGTAACTGTACATGGAAGATTTCAGTGCCCCGAAGACACAGAAACCACAACTTCTATATATTCTTGGAATAGTGTGCAGTTCGGCAAAGGTAATGTAATATATTTTAATCTTTTTTCCCCAAATAAACAGGTATAGTGATGTACATGTACATAAACTAGAGCATAAAAAACTTAAAAATTACGCAGTTATGATAAGGCTATCCGAAGGCTTAAAATGCATTAAAAATATACATTTTTAAGCTAGATTTAACTTTCAATATGTAATCCGTGATTGAATTTACAGACAACTTGTGATAAGAATTTAATCTGGTATTGTGATAAAGCATAGCACTCGACTTTATCATGCAGATCACGTGACGTACATTTATAATATTCTTAAATGTTGCACTAAAATCGCATCGGCACTAATGTAAAACGATATTGTGGAAAGTTTGCTACATTGATCAATTTGTCGTGATCTTTGGCAAATAAAAAATGCCGGAGGCAAGTCTAATTTTCACTTCTTCAGAAAATATTTGACGAGAAATTCAATTTACCAACAAAGAAGGGGTGTTTTTCACTCTTTATCGAGATTTATACAAAAATGGATAAACTATATACAGCAAAATTTGGTTAGATGAAAGACTTCTTTGACTTGTAGATTTACGCAGAATATCTTCGATTTATCTTTGTTAATCCTTCGTGTCAGTCGAATATATACACGATTCATGAATTCTTACTCTGTCTGCAGACGCGTTTATTTTATCAATATTTTCAAAACCCATTGTAGTTTGTAAAACGTGATGGGATCCTTTAAAAATTGTCCTATTTTAACGATATATTTGTATGGCGGAATGCTATAAATTCTTTGCTGCTCAAATGCAAAAATATAGAAACAAAACAAAAAAGCATTCATTTTAAAGATTTATCAATATTTCAGTACTCTAATTTAGCTTAATATTTGTAGAATTTATATGGAAAAGCATAGTATCATCAATTGAGTGTATCCCCTCGGATTGTTTTTTTAAAGTCCATAACATTACCCTCCAATTTGCAAATTGAATATCTCTGAAATATCTGCCTATACTATTTTATCAAATTCAAAATATATTTTTCGTCGTGAATATTTAGATCCAGCTATCGCTGCATAAAATAAAACTGCGTTAGGTTTCATTTAATGACGTCATATCGACAAGTGCATTGCGATCATAACTTGTTTACACCATGGTGTGTGGGGTTAATCTACAAAAAGCATGTTACAACTACAATATAGATTTTATTGTACATGTAGTTTAATTCTATGGTACAGATTAAAATAGCAAATCATTTTATTCAATGGTATTTTCAAAGAGTTGTTGCATTTTTTTGAAGTCATAGTTAAAATTTTACATACAGATTAGTTCCGTTTCAAGCTCCTTTTTTAGATAAATGGGAATAATAAATCATTGTGGAGACTTAACAAAGAAATACATGTTACTTACGTAAATATTTTTACTTCTTTTATGTATATTTGAAGTCCACTGAAAAACAAAAAAACTTTGTTTTTATTTTCAGTATGGAATTTAAAGGAAAATGCTATGGACTGTGAATTAGTAGTGAATTATGA